TGATTGCAAAACGCTGAACAAACTTTGCAGGCAAATTGTAGGTGACCCGATGGAACTTATGTTCTGGCCACTGCAAGGTGATCCTAGATTAGTTGCAATGCCAGATGCAGCGTTTAGGAACAACAGCGACAAATCCTCACAGCGCGCAATGGTTATTTTCATGGCTGAACCGAGAAAGGAAAAGAGCAAAAACACCAGAGGTTCTCTTATTTTCTTTGAATCAACCAAAATCAAACGTACCACGTTGAGCACAACTGTTGCAGAGTTGTATGCACTCATGAAGTGTTATGGTACATGTCAAATGTTGAGAGGACTGATCAAGGACATCACTGGACTTTCAAGTGAGATTCATATGAGGACTGATGCAAACAATCTTGTGACTACTGCCAGCACTACTCATGTTCCTGAACAACAAGAGACCATTCATATGATTCAGATGCTTAGGAAGGAAGCATGTTCAGGTTCCATTGCTGACTTGTCACATATCAGAACTCAATGGTGTTTAGCCGATTGTTTGACCAAGAAGTCTGCCAATCCTCAGAATCTTATTGATGCTGTTCGACAAGGTGTTCTTAAGGAAGTTGATGCTCATCCACCATTCAGATCATTACTGGAACACAAAGCTTACCTCGGGTCATGGTTGCCAACAGTTTGCAGTCATGTTGATTTCAGACATGATGTTTTTCTGTTAGGTGACACCTTGAGGGATTCTTGACTATTTTTTCCCGAGAGCGCCTGCGAAGGGTTCTTCGTAAAAAAGCAGCCGTTATACTAGATCTTCACTCCTTCACATCTGCTGATCTAGATCTTCACTCCTTCACATCTGCGGATCTAGATCTTCACTCCTTCACATCTGCTGATCTAGATCTTCACTCCTTCACATCTGCGGATCTAGATCTTCACTCCTTCACATCTGCTGATCTAGATCTTCACTCCTTCACATCTGCTGATCTAGATCTTCACTCCTTCACATCTGCTGATCTAGATCTTCACTCCTTCACATCTGCTGATCTAGATCTTCACTCCTTCACATCTGCGGATCTAGATCTTCACTCCTTCACATCTGCAGATCTAGATCTTCACTCCTTCACATCTGCTGATCTAGATCTTCACACCTTCACATCTGCAGATCTAGATCTTCACTCCTTCACATCTGCGGATCTAGATCTTCACCCTCACATCTGCGGATCTAGATCTTCACTCCTCACATCTGCTGATCTAGATCTTCACTCCTTCACATCTGCGGATCTAGATCTTCACCCTCACATCTGCAGATCTAGATCTTCACACCCTCACATCTGCGATCTAGATCTTCACACCTTCACATCTGCAGATCTAGATCTTCACACCTTCACATCTGCAGATCTAGATCTTCACACCCTCACATCTGCAGATCTAGATCTTCATACCCTCACACCTGCAGATCTAGATCTTCACACCCTCACACCTGCAGATCTAGATCTTCACACTCTCACATCTGCCGATCTACATCTTCACACCTTCACATCTGCAGATCTCCTCTCGCTCTTCTTCTATTCTCTCTTAAGGCGGGGGCGGTGCCGCCGGAGCGCCGCGAAACGCAACCCTTTCGCACGAAATGGACGTTGGACGCCAAAAACTGAGGTAAAATTGCGATTTTACTTTGTCCATTGCAACCCTTTCGCACGAAATGGACGTTGGACGCCAAAAACTGAGGAAAAGTTGCGACTTTGAAGCGTCCCGCGCAACCCTTTCGCACGAAATGGACGTTGGACGTCAAAAACTCAAGAAAAATTGCAACTTTGAGGTGTCGCGCGCAACCCTTTCGCACGAAATGGACGTTGGACGTCAAAAACTGAAGAAAAATTGCAACTTTGAGGTGTCGCGCGCAACCCTTTCGCACGAAATGGACGTTGGACGTCAAAAACTGAGGAAAAATTGCGACTTTGAGTTGTCAATCGCAACCCTTACACACGAAATGGAAGTTGGACGTCAAAAACTGAGGAAAAATTGCGACTTTACTTTGTCAATCGCAACCCTTACGCACGAAATGGACGTTGGACGTCAAAAACTGAGGAAAAATTGCGACTTTACTTTGTCAATCGCAACCCTTACGCACGAAATGGACGTTGGACGTCAAAAACTGACGAAAATTGCGACTTTGAGTTGTCAATCGCAACCTTTACGCACGAAATGGACGTTGGACGTCAAAAACTGAGGAAAAATTGCGATTTTACTTGGTCAATCGTAACGCTTTCGTCTGTGTAAAAGTGTCTGTGTGTAAAAGCCTCTGTGTGTTAAAGCCTCTGTGTGTAAAAGTGTCTGTGTGTAAAAGTGTCTGTGTGTAAAAGCGTCTGTGTGTAAAAGTGTCTGTGTGTAAAAGTGTCGTGTGTAAAAGCGGTTGTGTGTAAAAGCGTCTGTGTGTAAAAGGGTCTGTGTGTAAAAGCGTCTGTGTGTAAAAGCGTCTGTGTGTAAAATCGTCTGTGTGTAAAAGCGTCTGTGTGTAAAAGCGTCTGTGTGTAAAAGCGTCTGTGTGTAAAAGCGTCTGTGTGTAAAAGTCTCTGCGGGTAAAAGCCTCTGTGTGTAAAAGTCTCTGCGTGTGAAAGAGCCTGTGTGTAAAAAGCGTCTGTGTGTAAAAGCGTCTGTGTGTAAAAGCGTCTGTGTGTAAAAAGCGTCTGTGTGTAAAAGCGTCTGTGTGTAAAAGCGTCTGTGTGTAAAAGGGTCTGTGTGTAAAAGCGTCTGTGTGTAAAAGCTTCTGTGTGTAAAAGCGCCTGCGTGTAAAAAGCGTCTGTGTGTAACAGCGTCTGTGTGTAAAAGGGTCTGTGTGTAAAAGCGTCTGTGTGTAAAAGCTTCTGTGTGTAAAAGCGTCTGTGTGTAAAAGCGTCTGTGTGTAAAAGCGCCTGTGTGTAAAAGCGTCTGTGTGTAAAAGGCGTCTGTGTGTAAAAGCGTCTGTGTGTAAAAGCGTCTGTGTGTAAAAGCGTCTGTGTGTAAAAGCGTCTGTGTGTAAAAGTGTCTGTGTGTAAAAGCTTCTGTGTGTAAAAGCCTCTGTGTGTGAAAGTGTTGTGTGTAAAAGTGTCTGTGTGTAAAAGTGTCTGTGTGTAAAAGCGTCTGTGTGTAAAAGGGTCTGTGTGTAAAAGCGTCTGTGTGTAAAAGCGTCTGTGTGTAAAATCGTCTGTGTGTAAAAGCGCCTGTGTGTAAAAGCGTCTGTGTGTAAAAGCGCCTGTGTGTAAAAGCTTCTGTGTGTAAAAGCCTCTGTGTGTAAAAGCTTCTGTGTATAAAAGCCTCTGTGTGTAAAAGCTTCTGTGTGTAAAAGCCTCTGTGTGTGAAACTGTTGTGTGTAAAAGCGCCTGTGTGTAAAAGGGTCTGTGTGAAAAAGCGTCTGTGTGTAAAAGCGTCTGTGTGTAAAAGCGTCTGTGTGTAAAATCGTCTGTGTGTAAAAGCGTCTGTGTGTAAAAGCGTCTGTGTGTAAAAGCCTCTGTGTGTAAAAGCGTCTGTGTGTAAAAGCGCCTGTGTGTAAAAGCTTCTGTGTGTAAAAGCCTCTGTATGTGAAAGTGTTGTGTGTAAAAGTGTCTGTGTGTAAAAGCGTCTGTGTGTAAAAGCGTCTATGTGTAAAAGTCTCTGTGTAAAAGTCTCTGTGTGTAAAAGCTTCTGTGTGTAAAAGCGCCTGTGTGTAAAAGCTTCTGTGTGTAAAAGCCTCTGTGTGTAAAAGCTTCTGTGTATAAAAGCCTCTGTGTGTAAAAGCTTCTGTGTGTAAAAGCCTCTGTGTGTGAAGCTGTTGTGTGTAAAAGCGTCTGTGTGTAAAAGGGTCTGTGTGAAAAAGCGTCTGTGTGTAAAAGCGTCTGTGTGTAAAAGCGTCTGTGTGTAAAAGCGCCTGTGTGTAAAAGCTTCTGTGTGTAAAAGCCTCTGTGTGTAAAAGCATCTGTGTATAAAAGCCTCTGTGTGTAAAAGCTTCTGTGTGTAAAAGCCTCTGTGTGTGAAACTGTTGTGTGTAAAAGCTTCTGTGTGTAAAAGTGTCTGTGTGTAAAAGCTTCTGTGCGTAAAAGCACTTGCGTGTAAAAGCGCCTGTGTGTAAAAGCGTCTGCGTGTAAAAGTGTCTGTGTGTAAAAGTGTCTGTGTGTAAAAGCGACTGTGAAAGTGTTTGTGTGTAAAAGCATCTGCCTGTAAAAGCGCCTGTGTATAAAAGCGTCTGCGTGTAAAAGTGTCTGTGTGTAAAAGCGTCTGTGTGTAAAAGTGTCTGTGTGTAAACGCGTCTGTGAAAGTGTTTGTGTGTAAAAGCGTCTGTGTGTAAAGGAGTCTGTGTGTAAAAGCTTCTGTGTGAAAGCGTCTGTGTGTAAAAGCCTCTGTGTAAAAGCCTCTGTGTGTGAAAGTGTTTGTGTGTAAAAGCTTCTGTGTGTAACAGCTTCTGTGTGTGAAAGTGTGTGTGTCTAAAAACATCTGCGTGTAAAAGCGTCTGTGTGTAAAAGCCTATGCGTGTAAAAGTGTCTAGTGTCTGTGTGTAAAGGCGTCTGTGTGTAAAAGCCTATGTGTGTAAAAGTGTCTAGTGTCTGCGTGTAAAACCTTCTGTGTGTAAAAGCTTCTGTGTGGAAAAGCGTCTGTGTGTAAACGCTTCTGTGTGTAAAGCGTCTGTGTGTAAATGCGTCTGTGTGTAAAAGCGTCTGTGTGCAAAAGCGTCTGCGTGTGAAAAACAATACGAAGGATAGGATGCAAACCAGTGTTTTGTACTTGTAATATATTGTCTTGATACTACTTGTCTCGCCTGCCTAAAATACATCTTTAATATATTGTCTTGCAATATAGTGTCTCAATACTAACAACAGAAGACCCTGCTCTCTCTCTCTCTCCCTCTTTCTTTCTCTCTCTCT